GAGGAGGAGGAGGAGGAGGAGGAGGAGGAGGAGGAGGAGGAAGAAAACTGTAGGGTCCTTGGTATTCTCTGGGCCTGATGGTTTCCTTGCAGATGTTTCATGATCCAGCTAGGGAACGTTATCAAGGCTAGAGGAAATGGAGTTTGTGGAGAGGAGGAGGAGGAGGAGGAGGAGGAGGAAGAGAAAGAGAAAGAGAAAGAGAAAGAGGAAGAGGAGGAAGAAGACTGTAGGGTCCTTGGTATTCTCTGGGCCTGATGGTTTCCTTGCAGATGTTTCTTGACCCAGCTAGGGAACGTTATCAAGGCTAGAGGAAATGGGGTTTGTGGAGAGGAGGAGGAGGAGAAGGAGGAGGAGGACTGTAAGGTCCTTGGTATTCTCTGAGCTTGGTGGTTTCCTTGCAAATGTTTCATGACCCAGTTAGGGAAGATTATCAGTGCTAGAGGAAATGGGGTGTGTGGAGAGGAGGAGGAGGAGGAGGAGGAGGAGGAGGAGGAGGAGGAGGAGGAGGAGATGACTATGGGATCCTTGATGCTCCCAGAGCTGGGTGGTTTTCTTGCAGACATTTCCGGACCCAACTAGCTAACATCATCAGTGCTAGAAGGGAGTGAGGAGGAGGAAGAGGAGGAGGAGGAGAGTCATTGGCTTTTTGTTTCATTACCCAACTAAGTAACATCACCAGTGCTACAAGGGAAGGGGTCTATCTCTGTTTATATATACACAAGTGCTTACCGCCGGAATCAGCGCCCCAAGAGTCGAGGTCATCAGAGGAGGAAGCTCAGGGTACTGGTAGAAGAAAGCAAAATGGGCCATAAGTGTGCATCAATCGTTTATTTCCTGCTACGTGGGTCTCCATCAGAGGGTACCAAAATTTCCCCTTTCCTCTGATAAGGCTCAGGGTAGACATTAGAAGCTGTTGGAAGGCTGGTAGAGCTAGTTTTAGCCAAAGAACCTCTTGGAGGCTTGTCTGTCTCTGCACCGCTCCAGCGACCCGGAGGACACAGACAAGCCTCCAGGTGGCCTCAAGGACTCTCCAAAAGGAGGCAAAGGACCAGCTGTCTGCAAGCAGTATAAATCCTTCCCTTCCCCAGAACCTGAAGAAGCTTCTGGGATGAGAAGCAAAACTTCTTCAGAGGGAAAACGAGGACGTCCAGTCGCCTCCTGGAAAAAGAAGCCCCCTTTGGGACATCCCTACCAACGACTGAAATACATCGATGACCCCTCAAGCTCACCATCCCATCGGAGAGGTCAAGGTTCAGGGCCCCTTGCTTCTGCAGGACGCCCAGCACGGAGCTGAGGAAGTTGACCGACAGTCCCAGTTGAGAGTTAGTTGTGTCTTCCATGGGTGGCAGGGGTGGCATGGGCACCCTGGGTGGCATAGGGGGGGATTCCGGCTTGCCCAGGGGGTAGTCGATTAAGGGGCCGACGACGTGCCCAACCACCGTCTAGGAGGAAGAGAAAAAACGTGAAACCCCAGAAGAGGATTTCCATGTTACAGGCAGTCCTCGACGTACGACAGTCCATTTAGTGAGCGTTCAGAGTTACAACAGCTCTGAAAAAAGTGACTCAGGACCCTTTTTCACACTTACGACCGTCATTGCAGCCTCCCCCATGGTCACGTGATCAAAATTCAGACGCTTGGCAACCGGCTCCTATTTATGATGGTCGCAGCGCCCCGACATCAGGTCATCCCCTTTTGTGACCACCTGACAAGCAAAAGCAACGGGGGAAGGCCAGATTCACTTAACAACCGTGTTAGTAACCTAACAGCTGCGGTGATTCACTTAACAACCGTGTCAAGAACGCTTGTAAAGCGGGACAATAATTGTCTCACTTAGCAATGGAAGTTTTGGGCTCTGTTGTGGTACGTTGAGGACTCCCTGTATTCTCTCCTTCAGTCTTATTGATGTCATGGTGCAAACCACAGTAAGGATGCTGGATGCATTAAACCACGATTGATTTAAACATAGTTGGTTTTTTTTTAAAAAAAGACGTATATTTATTCTACACATTTGGTTCTTTTTCGCACGACTTGGACCAAACCCACACAAATCGCAGTACAGGTCAGGGGTCTTCAAACTTGGCCCTTTGATGACAGGTGGACTTCAACTCCCAGAATTCCTCAGCCAGCGTGAGGGAACTATGACCCTTTGATGACTGGTGGACTTCAACTCCCAGAATTCCTCAGCCAGCGTGAGGGTACTATGACCCTTTGATGACTGGTGGACTTCAACTCCCAGAATTCCACAGTCAGCGTGAGGGAACTATGACCCTTTTATGACTGGTGGACTTCAACTCCCAGAATTCCTCAGCCAGCGTGAGGGAACTATGATTGCCTGGCTGAGGAATTCTGGGAGTTGAAGTCCACAAGTCACGAAAGGGCCAAGTTTGACCACCCCCTGCTCTAAACCAGTGTTTTTCAAGCTTGAAGAGGTGTGAACTTCAACTCCCAGAATTCCTCAGCCAGCGTGAGGGAACTGACCCTTTTATGACTTGTGGACTTCAACTCCCAAAGGCACGCAGACCAGACTTCCCAGTTTGCAACGATCCTCCTTGCGAAATTTTGTTTAAACAGGTGCAGTTACTGCTCTCCTGGCAGGAGAGATCAGAAGAGATCAGACCCCCCACACTGGGTGGGGGCTTTTATTTAGGACAGCAGCCCTCCCCAAAGCAAGCCACATCCCTGTTCCCAGTAATGTGATCTTCGCTTCTGTTTTTTGATTGCCCAAAAGGAAATAAATCTTTCCGTCTCCCGCTCTCTAAGGTTGCTTCTCCTTCTCTCAAACCCACGCAAACCTCTTCCTTGTGGTTACCATTGGTGTAATCGGGTGACACCCTACTCGGAGGTCTCTGTCAGGGAGTTGGATTGTTGCCATCTGGAATTGCTGTGTCCACATCTGCAAATCTGGCCCAAGAGTTTAAAACCCCCTGGCTGCATTCACACGATCAGCTTAATGGAGTCAGTTAGAAATCTAGGAACTGCATTCACACAATATACTGGCCTTTGTCAGTATCAATCCTGGTTAGTTGTTTTTTACGGTTTGCCGCGTTGTAAAGAATTAGGACAACTATGAGAACTACTACTAGTCCAGGGGTAGGCAACCTTGGCTCTTTTATGACTCGTGGACTTCAACTCCCAGAATTCCTGAGCCAGCCATGCTGAGGGGAAAGGGAGAGTTTCCAAGCTGAGCCATGCTGGCTGAGGAATTCTGGGAGTTGAAGTCCACCAGTCATGAGGGGGCCATAGTTCCCTCATGCTGGCTCAGGAATTCTGGGAGTTGAAGTCCACCAGTCATGAGGGGGCCATAGTTCCCCCATGCTGGCTCAGGAATTCTGGGAGTTGAAGTCCATGAGTCATGAGGGGGCCATAGTTCCCCCATGCTGGCTCAGGAATTCTGGGAGTTGAAGTCCACCAGTCATGAGGGGGCCATAGTTCCCCCATGCTGGCTCAGGAATTCTGGGAGTTGAAGTCCACGAGTCATAAAAGAGCCAAGGTTGCCTACCCTTGGACTAGTCTAATTCTGATGTGCCTTGTTGGAAGTCCTTTCTTGTGAGTCCAAAATGGAGACCTCAACATTCCTGAAGCCATGATGGGAGCTGGCTCTGATAATCCACATGTTTTCTTGGGCTTTCTTGGTGGAACCAGAAGGCAAGCGGCTTATATTTAAGACTTACGTTTAAATCGATCTCCAGGAAATGTCCTGTGACTAACGGCAAGCTGGAGACGGTATACTGGACGCTTCCCAGTATTCCCAAAGGAACTAGAGCTGTAGAGAATGAGAAGGTCAACGGGTACCATGGAACAGGGGCCATCCCTCACCACCTCCCCATACTTGCATTATCAAGTCACACATCTTCATCTTTGCAGACTCGGGCTATTTGCTGACATTCTGCCTTAGTTATGTGCCCCTCTTTCCACTTTTTATACTTGTCCTTTTTCTCTTTCAATTTATCAGAGAGTTCTTTATGCAGCCATGCAGGCTTCTTTTGAGAGCTGTTATTTTTCTTTTTTGTTGGTATTGTGCTAGACTGGGCTTCTATTATCTCACTTTTCAGAATTTCCCAAGCTTCTTGAGTTATTTTCCCCTTGAGGATTCTCATCCATGGAATCCTTCCCACGCCCTCTCTACGTTTATTGAAATTAGCTCTCTTGAAGTCCAAGACTCTAGTTTGATTGTGTTCTATTGCTTGTGCTTCCATAATGTTGAATTCCAATATTGCATGATCACTTCCTCCCAAGGTTCCTATGGCTTCAACACCTTCTATCATTTCATCTCTGTTAGTGAGGATTAGATCCAATATGGCTAATCCCCTAGTTCCCTTCTCTACTTTTTGGGAGACAAAGTTGTCTGTTAGGTTTGCCAGGAACCTATTTGATCTTCCACTTGGTGCAGAGTTTGTCTCCCAGTTGATGTCAGGGTAGTCAAAGTCCCCCATTACTATTGTGATGTGCTTCCTACATACCTTAGTTAGCTGACTAGCAAAAAGTTCATCTATTTCCTCTGTTTGGTTGGGTGGCCTGTAGTATACACCTATGGCAATGTCGTTTTCCCCCCCTTTTATATTGACCCAAATGCATCCTTGGAGCAACATGGTCTGGCCATTGTAGGTGCCATCTATAGCTACATTTCTCTTCTAAAGTGGAGGAGGAGGAGGAGAGGGAGGAGGAGGAGAGGAAGAAATAGGAAGAGGAGAAGAGGAAGGAGGAGGAGGAGGAGAAATAGGAAGAGAAGAGGAAGGAGGAGAAAGACAACAAGTAGAGGGAGGGGGAGGGGGAGGAGGAGGAGGAAGGGAAGAAAAAGAAGAAGAAGAAGAAGAAGAAGAAGAAGAAGAAGAAGAAGAAGAAGAAGAAGAAGAAGAAGAAGAAGAAGAAGAAGAAGAAGAAGAAGAAGAAGAAGAAGAAGAAGAAGAAGAAGAAGAAGAAGAAGAAGAAGAAGAAGAAGAAGAAGAAGAAGAAGAAGAAGAAGAAGAAGAAGAAGAAGAAGAAGAAGAACTGAGAAAAAATATTGCACTGCATCCTGGTTTGTTTTCAGTCTCTCTACCACAAAGAAGAGTCTTCAAACATACGGGAAGAAGAAAGCAAAACAACTCACAATTCACAAGTCCAAGCTGGTCATTCACAAGGCCCAGGACAATGTCAAGGACAGGACAAAGCTGGAAAATTTAAAATGTGTGTGACTTTCTTGCAGCAAATGTCAGGAAACAAACTGGCAGAAGAGACAAAGAAACCACCATATTCGTGGTTATCTCCATCTCTTCTGCCTTGACAGTTTCTTCATTGCATGGAAGAAGACCACCACCACACATGAGCAAGTTTTGTGATTGGGACTCTTTGCTTCCTGTGTTGGGACCTTTGTCTTGTTGGGTCTACGGTTCTGAGCTACATGTCTGTCCAGACCAATCACCTCACTTACCAGATCAGGAAGCAGCCTGTTAAGGACACGTGCTAGTAAGTTGTCCACAATTGGAAGAAGGCTGCAGAGAAGAACAAAACAAGGACGTGAGAAACATCTCCAGTTTGACAAATTGGCAGAAGAACATTTGGAGAGAAGGGGCATCTCCATTAGCACAGCTGCTGACTCTGATTGAGTCAGATCTTCTCGTTCTAGCTCTCACAGATCCTTCAAGACTTCTCACCAAGAAAGAAACATCGAATTGACAAATGTTTCCAGCTCTTGATTTCCCTCATCTAAGTTATGGTGGACCTAAAGTTCTGAAGACCAAGAGAGAGAGCCTTGAGAATAGCCTTCAACTCTTCTTGGAGGGGGCAAGAGTTTTAGGGACACATGGAAGCTGTCCATGCCTGGTTCCCCAACTGAGCACTTCAGATCATCTTTCCCTAATTTTATGCCACTTTACGAAGCTGGGGAAAAACACAAGAGCCAGCTAAAAATTCAAAACCACCATTTAATTGTGTGTTGGTGGGTAAGGAAGTCAGTAGGAAGAGTCTTTTTTGGCACATACATGATGTTTTACAGAACAAGTAGGCCTAATTAAAGGGCAGAGCTAAATGATGGCCTTTGAGTTGGCTTAAATAAACAGAATTGTTGTTTTAGACAGTCCTCACTTAACGATGGTAAATGGGGCCGAAAACTCTATTGTTGAACAATGCGGTCATTAAGCATGACTTCATACGACTGCACTGCTTAGCGATGGCAGTTTCAGCAGTCCCAGTTGCTTTCGTTAAGTGCATCACAACGAGCTGTTAAGTGAGGATCTGTTACTTGCGATTTCCCGCCGGCTTCCCTAGTGACTTTGCTTGTGGGAAATTGGCAGGGAAGTTCACAAATGGCAGTCCCATGACTGTGGAATGCTGCAAATGTCATCTTTGTGAGCTAGTCACTGATTTATCCGTGATCTGGTGATCACGGGGACCCTGTAATGGCTGCAACTCTGAGGATCGGACGCAAGTCCCACTCACTCAGCACTGTTGTTACTTGGATGATTGCTGAACAAGAGGCTGTTAAGTGAGGACTACTCGCATTGTATCACAAGCTATAATAAGCAGGGACAAATGTTATAAATGAAAATATGAAATTGGTCAAGAAGGGACTGAGGCCCTGTCTGGTGATGCTCACCCTCTAAGAAGTCTAATTTTAATGCCTCCCAGAAGCGTATCACAGTGATCAATCACCAACGTGGGGTAGCCGGTGCCGTCCATCGTCAGACGGACGATTGCCGTGATGTTCACCTCTACTGCAATGTCAAGCAAACCAAGGAGGCTGAAACAGAAGGGATGAGAAAAGAGCGTCCAGGTCACCCATGACTTGTCTAATTTGGTTTGTGGGGTCCTTGGTGCTCTCTGAGTTTGGTGGTTTTCTTACAGATGTTTCGTGAACAACATATGAAACATCTGCAAGGAAGCTACCAAGCTCAGAGAGCACCAAGGACCCCACCTTCCTCCTCCTCCTCCTCCTCCTCCCCCTCCTCTTTCTCTCCTCAAACCCTACTCCCTTCTAGCACTGATGACGTTATCTTAGTTCCCTCAACCATGTCAAGCCCCCCAGGAAATCAGGAGATTCAGGCTGTTCAAATGAGTATAAAGATTTATTACAAACTTAAGCTCCCTACAAGAATCTGGGCAACTGACTGTTAAGGGAAATGAGCAGGAGATAAGAAAGGCATTCAAAGTGGGCAGGACTTAGATCTCTTGAGGGCACTGAGGGACTCATGACTTATGACGTGTTTGAACCCTCCCTCGGGCTTAGCCTGGTCACCTCCTACGTCCCGTTCATCATACATCCTGCTTACCTCTTCCCATTAAGTGCCACTCTGGTGTATAAATCCAGGTGGACCCCAATGCCAGGTAAGAGCCTCAGGTTGATCTTGGGAAGAGTCAGTTCCACAATTCGTAATCTGCAAGTAGAAGCAAAGTCGTTCAGGTAATCCCATCTCCACTGACCTATAATGATAGTGTTGATAGCCTACCGAGGAAGCAGTTTAGACTGGAAATCAAAAAAGGCTTCTAACTAAATGCATATCATGTTTGATGTCCATCATCCACTCCCCAATTATCTTTCTTGGTCCTATTACAATTGGATGACTTTAATGTGTATGTTTGTTTTATCCGATTAACGGTTTGTCCCAGTTATTCAGTTCCCCAGCAACAGACAAGTAGAGGAAACAATTAAAATCAAGAGAACAGTCCATAAAAAGCTGAACGTCCACTCAGAACCTTCATCTCTGGCCAAAACTGATGGAGAAAGATAATCTTCGGTGCTTTCTGAGATGTTGGAACAATCAGGACTATAGGGTCCTTCACCATGAAGAGGGCCTACTACAAAAAGTCCTAGTTTTCTTCATTTGAGTTCAACTTTGGAAGATGCAATGCACCCAGTGATCATCAGCTTGAGAAGACCTTTCTTTGATTCACCCAGGGATATAATTTCTAAAGCTGGGGTCCCTACGAAGAGAATAAATCAGTGAGACTCAGAGGTTCTTACCCTGTCAGGCCTTGCACCGTGCTGAGGAGACCTCCTTCCCCAAGGATGCCAAGGACTCCGCCTCCACCAAGGAGGCCTCCATTGCCCAACAGACCTCCGTTGCCCAGGAGGCCCCCACCGCCACCAAGAATTCCTGCAGTGCCAAGCAGACCTCCATCACCCAGCAAGCCTCCTTGGCCCAGCAGTCCTCCAGCACCTGGGCCTCCACCGTTGCCACCAGCAGCAGCATTGAAACCCCTCCCTCCAAGCCTGCCTCCAGGGATCCCACCAAGAAGTACCCTTCCTCCTGCTCCTGCTCCCCCTTCTCCTCCTCTACCTCCAGGAAGTCCTCCTCCTCTACCACCCCTTTGTCTTCCTCCACCACCTCCTTCTCCTCCACCACCACCAAGCACACCTCCAGGAAGTTCTCCTCCTCCACCACTACCTCCTCTTTCTCCACCACCTCCTTCTCCACCACCAAGAAGTCCTCCTCCTCTACCACCACCACCCCCAAGCATACCTCCAAGAAGTCCTCCTCCACCACCCCCTCCTCTTCCTCCTCCACCTTCTCCTCCTCCACCACCACCAAGCACACCTCCGAGAAGTCCTCCTCCTCCTCCTCTTCCTCCTCCACCTCCTCTTCCTCCACCATCACCAAGCACACCTCCGAGATGTCCTCCTCCTCCACCACCATCACCACCACCAAGCACACCTCCCAGAAGTCCTCCACCCTCTCCTCTTCCTCCTCCATCTCCTCCTCCTCTGCCACCACCAAGCACACCTCCGAGAAGTCCTCCTCCTCCTCCACCACCTCCTCCTCCTCCACCACCACCAAGCATACCTCCAAGAAGTCCTCCTCCTCCTCCACCTCCTCCTCCTCCTCCTCCACCACCAAGCACACCTCCGAGAAGTCCTCCTCCTCCACCACCACCACCGAGCACACCTCCGAGAAGTCCTCCACCTCCTCCTCCTCCAAGTAAGCCTCCAGTGAGGCCTCCCAGAAGGCCTCCACCCCCGCCGCCCCCCAGGAGGCCTCCTAGTAGACCACCGTCTCCACCACCTCCATTGCCGAGGGGCACTTCTCTCATGGCGCCTTGAAGGGCGTTGCTTTGGGCCATCGAGTTGGTGACAGCTGCAAAACAAAGAACAAGGAAGTTGTACACAACGAGGAGGAAAGACAAGGCAACCTTACTCCTGTTCCTACTCAGCTCTTTGGGGATTAGCAAGTTCCATATCTGGGGTGCCTTTTGTAAATAAGACCTAGTTTTTAATTTCAAGAGAAGTGGAATCCCTTCTACGGCTATTCATCTCTTGCTTGCCCAAAAGATCAGGAATGTGAGGATGACCTGGATGGGTCCTCTGGAACGCCCTACCAGCGTGATTTTGAGGTTGAGCACCTGGGTTACGTACAGAGATCCCAGGTTCAACCTCCAGTCTTTCCAAATAGGGACCTTCTCTATTCCTGAAGACCACTGAGAATCCACCAGCTCGCATCAGTGGTGTTATGTAAAGCAGAGTAGACCGTACTAGACGGAGCAATGGTTTGATGCAGTCAAACACCCAGTGTTTGATGGTGGGCAGTAGACAAATAATGGAAACAATTAAAAACATGGAAACGGCCCGTCAAAAAAAGCTGGGTGTCCACTCAGAACCTTCATTCCTGACCACCCCTGAAGAAAGTTAGTCTTCTGGGGCAATTTTTTTTAGCAATTATGCTTTGTTCTCGTTGCTCAGTTCCTGAGCAGAAGACAAGCACAGGAACTAATTAAAAATCATGTGAACGGTCCATTAAAAACTGGACGTCCGCTCAAAGCCTGACCATCCCTGAAGAAATATATTCTTCAAGTGTCTTCTGGAATGTCAGAAACAGTCATGTTCCTTGCTCATATTACAGGGAGGTGGTTTTAATTTATGTGTTTGTTTTGGCATAGATATGGTTTGTCTTAGTCAGACCTTGAGCAACAGACAAGTACAGGAAACAATTACAAACATGGAGACGGTCCATAAAAATGCTGGATGTGCACTCGGACCTTCATCTCGGGCCATCCCTGAGGAAAGATAGACTTAAATACCAAGGAGAATATCTGCAGCTCAAGGTTGAAATGAGGGGGTCCTTTGGTGCTCTCTGAGCTTGATTGTTTTCTTGCAGTCCTTTCATGACCCAAACTAGGAAACACCATCAGAGCTAGAAGGGTGGGGGGTTTATGGTGGTGGTTGTAGTGGAGGAGGAGGAGGAGGAGGAGGAGGAGGAGGAGGAGGAGGAGGAGGAGAAGAAGAAGAAGAAGAAGAAGAAGAAGAAGAAGAAGAAGAAGAAGAAGAAGAAGAAGAAGAAGAAGAAGAAGAAGAAGAAGAAGAAGAAGAAGAAGAAGAAGAAGAAGAAGAAGAAGAAGAAGAAGAAGGGGAGGGGGAGGGGGAGAATGAGGAGGACAAGGAGGACAATGACTATGGGGTCCTTGGTGCTCTCTCAGCTTGGTGGTTTTCTTGCAGACATTTCATTACCCAACTAGGCAACATCATCAGTACTAGAAGAGGGGGTTGCACTGATGATGTTACCTAGTTGGGTAATGAAACGTCTGCAAGAAAACCACCAAGCTCAGAGAACCACCCAGGAGCCTTCACAGACTTAATTGTCTTCTGGAATGTCAGAACACTCAAGACCACGGGCGCCTCTCAGGGTAGCGTACTCCACAATGGGAAGGGTCTACTACTCCTCATTCTTTTTAACTGGAGTTAAGTGAGGGAGGTAGCAATGCATCTAACGATCGCCAACTCAAAACGTTCACCCTTTCATTTGCCTGAGGTGGTCATTTCTACAGCTGAGCCCCCCCCCCCCCCCGTAGACACAACGGGACCTATTTGAGCCCCTTTTCCTTGTTTGCGATCTTGGACTTACCATTATGCAACACGCCTTGGTTGACTCGGATGACCGCGTCGGTTGGAAGGAGTTGACTTTGGGAGGGAGTCAGCAAAGCGCAGACCAGGAGGAGACCCCAGGCCGCTGACATCTTTGGTCAAGTGGCACCTGCTGAGATGCAACTGGAGCTGAGCACAGGTGTCTTTTCAACACTTCTCTCCATCTAACTCAGGGGTCTCCAAACTTGGCCCTTCATCATAAATTAAGTGGAATTTATGGACAGCCACTTCTCTGGAATAGTCTAGGGTCTCCCGCTTGAGCAGGGGGCTGGACTAGAAGACCTCCAAGGTCCCTTCCAACTCTTTCAATGATTCTGTAAGGATCTCCTGCTTGAGCTGGGGATTGGACTAGAAGACCTCCAAGGTCCCTTCCAACTCTGTCATTCCATGATTCTGTAAGGGTCTCCTGCTTGAGCAGGGGGTTGGGCTAAATGACCTCCAAGGTCCCTTCCAACTGTCATTCCATGATTCTGTAAGGGTCTCTTGCTTGAACAGAGGGCTGGGCTAGAAGACCTCCAAGGTCCCTTCCAACTCTATCATTCCATGATTCTGTAAGGGTCTCCTGCTTGAGCAGGGGGTTGGGCTAGATGACCTCCAAGGTCCCTTCCAACTCTGTCATTCCATGATTCTGTAAGGGTCTCCTGCTTGAGCTGGGGGCTGGACTAGAGGACCTCAAAGGTCCCTTCCAGCTCTATTCTGATTGATTGATCTGTGAGCTGCTCAGAGTCAACGTATCGAGGAGATGGGCGGCCGAAAAAAAATTAATAAATCAATCAAAGAAATAAACCAGACAACTTCATCCCAGCCAGCCACCCCGCTCTCCTTTACCTGGGTGTTTCCTTCTCAGGCTAACTGAGAGTGGAGAATCTTGGCTTGCTAATTTTCAGTCAGTTTCTAGGCTGTTCATAGCCACCTCGCCGCCTCCACCTCCTCCTCCTCCAGGTTCTAGGACTATCGCAGTGGCACCACCATTTATATCAATTGCAAACCGTGGGTGGTCATGGACCGGGTGCCAGGGATATGGGGATAATGGGCTCAATCTTCTCTTTTTATCTGATTTCTCAAAGTTCAGTCTTTGTAATGAGTTGTAATTCTGTTAAGCCAGAGGTATCAAATGCCCAGCCAGTTCCACAATCTGTGATTCATTTGTCTCTGTCCAATAGGAGGGATGGAAGTTTTTTCACTAGAGACTAGACTAGACTAGACTAGACTAGACTAACTAGAATAGAATAGAATAGAATAGAATAGAATAGAATAGAATAGAATAGAATAGAATAGAATAGAATAGAATATAGACTAGACCAGAATAGAATAGAATAGAATAGAATAGAATAGAATAGAATAGAATAGAATAGAATAGAGACCAAACCACACCTCACCAGACCAGACCAGACCAGACCAGACCAGACCAGACCAGACCAGACCAGAATAGAATAGACTAGACTAGAATAGACTAGAATAGACTAGAATAGAATAGAATATAGACCAGACCAGACCAGACCAGACTAGACTAGACTAGACTAGACTAGACTAGAATAGAATAGAATAGAATAGAATAGAATAGAATAGAATAGAATAGAATAGAATATAGACTAGACTAGACCAGACCAGACCAGAATAGAATAGAATAGAATAGAATAGAATATAGACTAGACCAGACCAGACCAGAATAGAATAGAATAGAATAGAATAGAATAGAATAGAATAGAATAGAATAGAATAGAATAGAATATAGACTAGACCAGACCAGACCAGACCAGACCAGACTAGGCTAGACTAGACTAGACTAGACTAGACTAGACTAGACTAGACTAGAATAGAATAGAATAGAATAGAAGCTGGAAGGGACCTTGGAGGTCTTCTAGTCCAGCCCCCTGCTCAAGCAGGAGAACCTATACCATCTCAGACAAATGACTATACAGTCTCTTCTTAAAAACCTCCAGTGATGGAGCAGCCACAATCTCTGGTGGCAAGCTGTTCCACTGCTTAATTGTCCTCACTGTCAGGAAGTTTCTCCTTAATTCCAGGTTGCTTTTCTCTTTCATCAGTTTCCAACCATTGTTTCTCATCCTTCCCTCTGGTGCTTTGGAGAATAACGTAAGCCCCTCTTCCTTGTGGCAGCCCCTCAAATACTGGAAGGCTGCTATCATGTCTCCCCTATTTCTTCTTTTCTTTAGACTAGCCAAACCCAAGTCCCGCAGCCGTTCTTCGTATGTTTTAGTCTCCAGGCCTTGGATCATCTTAGTTGCTCTTCTCTGGATTTTTTCCAAACTCTCAACATCTTTTTTGTAATATAGTGAAAAAGTGGTTTTTTTCACTAGATGAAATGTCTACTTGGGGAGGCCCTCAATTCTGCAACTTTGTCCTGCACACACACCCCTTATAGAAAAGAAGGTCATCTGTGAAAACTTCTTTAGAAATCTACGGAGATTCTCCATCATCCTGGTCACGGTTGTCCCAAAGATGCTTTTCAAAAGACAACTGAACATTCCTGTTGTTGTTTTTCTTGAATATTTTTCGCTTCTTCTCCAAGAAGCTTCTTCCGTCCTTCGGTTCTTCGGTTCCAAGAAGCTCCTTCAATTCTGCTTTTTGGAACTGAAGGACCGAAGAAGCTGCTTGCAAAACATCTTCAAGGGGAAAAAAAAACCCAAAGGAGTCCAGTTGCCTTTTGGAAAAGCACCTTTGGGACGTCTTTAGAAAGATCTGGCCAGGTAAATCCTGTACAGGGTTTCGGAGTTCTAAAATGTCTCCTCCTCGTGATCCTAGGTGACAATCCACAACATTTGTCCCTGTGACATCAGGGCGCATGCCCAGAGAAGGGAAAAGCTGACCAAACATGATAAGGGAAACTCACAGATTGGGTTCAGACTACATGTTTCACCAGGTGAATTACAGAAGAGTTGGCACATCCCATAGTTGTTGTTGTTGTTAGTTGTGAAGTCGTGTCCGACCCATCGCGACCCCACGTCCAACGTTCCTCCAGGCCTTCCTGTCCTCTACCATCTTCTGGAGTCCATTGAAGCTCCTGCCTGCTGCTTCAGGGACTCCCTCCAGCCCCCTCCATCTCTGTTGTCCCCTTCTTCTCTTGCCCTCCATCTTTCCCAGCATCAGGCTCTTCTCCAGGGAGTCCTTCCTTCTCATTAGGTGGCCAAAGGACTTGAGTTTCAACTTCAGGATCTGGCCTTCGAAACAGCAGTCAGGGTTGATCTCCTCTAGGAC